GAAAATTGGCAAAACTGTGGCTGCTTCAGTGCTGCGATGGTCAGCAGCAGTCACATGATCTTCATTTCAATGCTCCCTGATAGCTTCCTACAAGGAAAGTCTAGTGGGAAGCTGGCAGGAAGTCAGAAGTCACTCCTACTCTCACTGCCCTTTTTGCCCAACCATGGTCATTCTGTTTCTCAGTTTAGTAAGGAAATATCTCTGAACAGGTTACAGATTGTGTACTACTTACACATAAATGAAGTTTTAGTTCATACTAACAAAGAGATTTTCAAAAATGCTTTAGACAGCCTCTCCTTTTTATATGAAAATAAAGAAGAGAAAGGAAGCACATTTAGAGTTGCAAGATTCTGTTACTACGGCTTTTTAAAAAAAATAAAATTTATGTCTACATGGTCTCTGTTAGTGTGGTCTACTTGTGGGACTGACAGTAATGCAGGCTAGGGAAAATAAATTAGCTGGCTCTGGGAACAAAGTGGAACAAACTGTGGATGGCAGACAGTATACCTACATTGAGAATCACTGAAGGTAATGGTTGGATGGCTGGAGAGAACTGCCAGAGAGTGTATGAATGACAAAAGGGAGAGGAGAGAATAGACTAATATTAGTTAATTGATTTGAGAGTAAGAAACATTGATGAAGGATTCTTCAGACATTGCTGCCCATCATGTCTCTAAACAGAACTACAGAGAACAACGTCTCTAAACAGTACTTGAGTTCTATGCATAGAATTCAAGCTGAACCATTTTTGAAAGTTACATAATACATAACAGGACTGCTCATTTGACCAACAATTGGTATAAAGATAGACATTTTATTAAGACGGGGACATTTCAGCTCCTCCTTTCTAGTGAATGCTTCTATTGTCAGTATTTTAAGGATTCTTCCTCTATATTTTAGAGACACATCGGTTTCGCGGAAATAAGATACATTTGGCTAAATTTTAATCAACAGTGTATGTTATATATATAGGAATATGGTAGATGAGGAGTTTGCATCCATTGTTATATGCAAATCTCTCACCTGAATATTGAAGTTCAAAAACTTGTCATTTTCTGACATTGGGAATATATTACACTCTTATAGTATACTTACACGCCAAAGAACTCTCCAGACCCAGAGCAGTTATGTGCTAGCTGTATACAACTAATTAGCGAAGAGCTAGGTTTGGATGGGAGATCATACGAAAGTGGAGTAGTTGATGAAGGCAAACATTCGGAAGCACAAAAAATTAAGCCTTAAGAAAAACTGAAGCTACAGGAACATCAAGAGACCAGATGATCCAATGTGACTTGGGAAGAAGCAAAGACATACCAAAGTGTGCACACTAGTCCTCAGAGCAGATGGCACACAACAGTTCTTGGTGTTTGCAGTTATGAATCAACAAGATATTTCTACAAACCATACTCAAGAAATCAATTCTGCCAAGAATCTTGTATAAATTCAGGCTTTGATGAAATGGAAGTATAAATTAAGATGGTCCACTGAAATTGAGTTTGGTTTTAGAAGGGAATTTGATATATTTTCAGAAGTTATAGAAGTGGGCGTATATTTTGGATTGTCATATTTTCAACGAGCTGCTTTCTTTTTGTCAATCTCACAGTATTTGGGACAATAACCAATTTGAAGGCACTCTTTGAACTTTTATCTGTACTTTCTTTCCAATAAAATTATCTTTCTGGATCTTTTCAATTCTTTCTGTGCTTGGGGCATCAAAGTGTGTGGTTTCGTGTTTCTTTTCTTATGACAATAGTAGCAACAGCACTTAGACTTATATACCATTTCACAGTGCTTTTACAGCCCTCTCTAAGCAGTTTACAGAGTCAGCATATGCCCCCAACAATCTGGGTCCTCATTTTACCCACCTCAGAAGGATGGTAGGCTGAGTTAACCTTGAGCCTGGTGAGATTCGATCTGCCAAATTGCAGGCAGCCAGCAGTCAACAGAAGTAGCCTGCAGTACTGCATTCTAACCACTGCGCTACCATGGCTGTAGTAGTAGATATTGGGTTATAAAAATGAAAAAGCTGCTTCTATTTTTCTGGAAAAAGAAAGGAATAGGAATTGAATTCCATCTTCCTCAATGTGATTGATTGCAGGAACGTCCGGGGTCAGTACGGCAAACTGAAGACACCTCCAGAAAAGTGGAGCTGACAACTGAAGAAAGACCAAGGAACCAGTGAATAAACTAATTCCATAGAAGTCAGTCTGAATAAGGTGAGGATGGGAGATCACCCACACATGCTCCAGATGGTTGCTCCTTGTAAGGAGACCATAGGATATTAGTTTTGCACGGGATTGAGCACCGAGAGATAACAAGATCATCCCCCTTGCTCACAATCCAGCAGAGCCTTTTAAAAGACACTTCGTTTGGAATCTCACTTTCTACTCACTTTCAGAAATTGTCTATTAACCATTTTAAAGCTATTGAAGACCTTCAGAATGACAAATCTAAAAAGTCATCAAATACAAGCATGTTCTCTGATACCAGTTAATACTGGTACTTAGAATATGACACAAAACATCAGAAACATTAAAGAAGATCTTTGAAGAATGGAGCCAGAAATTAATAACTATGATGTCAACACTGTCAGTGATGTCTGTTTTTATGTATATACAATGGCCAAAATATGTTATGAAGAATGACAGGTGTGGAAAAAATACTGGAAGTAGAATTACAAATGACAGGCCAGGATAATGATTTGGAAAAGGACACTTTACTGGAAATACAAAAATAAAACTGGCTAAATTAAAAGGAAAATGATTAACCAAAAGAATGACCAGGAAAATGTTTTCTATTAGAGTTATAAAAATGGCTTTTAAAGTCTTGAAGAAATCTGTGCAATGGGATAAATAAGAACTGAAGATAAATCAAATCCTACAACAATATTTGAATTAAATATTAAGACTGTTAGTAGTAAAAGAAAGGAATATAAAGTTTGCTTATTTGATAAAGTTAAATAAGACATGCTCTGCCAAAACGTTGTGGACTTTTTGCTGACATCAGGATTGGAAAGTTGATATTTTATGGATTTGCTTATAAATAAAGGAGTATGGAATTAAGGCACCATGTTCAAGGTTATTTGGTAACATCGAAAGTAAATAGGTAACTAAAACACTCCTTACAGGATAGGTAGAAGCACAGACCAGCATTTTCTCTGCAACATTCTGGCCCAGTTCTAAAGTTTCTAGTGATAACACTCTAAATATAAAACTTCACAACAATAATGTAGACTAAATGCAATACCATCAGGTTTGAGGCCTTGTCAGAAACAGAGTTGGCACAACAAGGTAGGTTAGGCAAAAATACTGCTGTTTCAGCTGCTACCTAATATTCATGTGCACAAATGAGCTGGAGAATATTCTCAAGTATTAATCTGATTCGTCAGGAGATACTCTATGAAAAACTTGTAGAATTCATTCTCCGAACATCTCTCTTATTAAGTTCAATTTTAGAAAAAATAGATATTAACTTTTTAAGAATTCCAGAGAAATGCAAAAGCTTACCTAATCAACTATAAATGTGTCCAATCAATTATAAAAATGTCTAATGAGATGGGATTATATTAGCCAGCTTTATCAAGAAAAGTGAATAAAAAAAAATGCCTGGGAATACAGACTAGAAACATTCACAATGCCCAAATCCTCACCGTAGTTGTCAGCTTTTATATGAATCAATGGGTAATCTGCAATAGTACAAAAGCATTGTTTTGCATCATAGGAGAAATTTTGAAGCTGAGAAGTAATTTCTTTGCCTTATATTTTTTTCTCCTTTCCTAATATCATTTCAATCTGAAATGCTAAGCATAATTTTATATTTTACAATTACCCATTTAAGTCACCTCATTTGAGGTTTTTTGTTGGGCAGAGGGATTGTTAACTGGACACACATATAGAAATATACTGACATTTAAAAAGAAAATTAACAGTTAACTTGGCCATATGTTGCTATTATTATACTCATACAAGTGATCATTTCATCCTATCAAGAAAGTGGCAACATTTATAGTTGGTTAACCAGCTTACGATCACAGATCCATTAACACAAAAACTTAAATACTTAAAATATTTATAACATTGCACAAATGTCATACATATTAATTGAATGACTATTCTGTAATACAATAGGAAAGCATGCTGAAACAAAACACCTCAGCAGTATTTTAAAGCAGTAACCACCTAGCCAATTTCTGTATGTTCTGTAGTTTTTCTAATCCACTCTCCCTGTGGCTGAGCAAAATCGAATTGCCTCTCACATTTGCAGACAGCTCTGTGAAGGTGATAATAGAGCTGCTCCCTGCTGTCATGAGGCAGGAAATAGGAAAATGGCATATGGGGCTAGAAAGAAATAAAAAAAGAATCAAACAAGAACAAAAGAGATTTCAACAAAGGACAAACTATAACCCAATATGCTTTGCAAGTTAATCTCTTTTCATAAGGATTCTGCATAATCATTCATCTGCAAACTTGCCCTAAAATGTGAATGGTTGCAAAGTTGTTAGGGAAATTTTTATTTTGGAGAATATGCAAAAAGTACCCTATTTCATCTCAAGAATGAACATTATGTATCTCTAGAGAAGGATTTAATCTATCTTGATCTGCTATTTCATTTTGAAAAGATTGAAGGTTTTACCAACCTAAATTGTATTTATAGTCTTGACCCTAAGATACAAATTGCATTGGATTTAATAGAAATGCTTACTATGTAGGAAAAGGGTTTTTTTTAGTTTCTTTTTAACTTACCCATAAAGACCAAAGAGCTCTTCAAGAACAAAAGTACAGGAAATCAAATAATTAAAGGAAATCAAAATTTTCTATTAAGCTCAAGTTAGCTATATTTAATTTAAGCAAAAAAGGAGAAGGATAATTCTCATATTCTAAAGAGATGGTTGAAATAACACATTTTCCATTTTTTTCCATGTAATTTTTTCCATCCATAATATATGATTAAAAAAACATTAAAAGAGGCATTTCGCCCACTTAATAAAAAATAGCACATACCTTTCCTTTCACACTCTGAATGGGATCCACTACTACTGCCACAGCTCTTTCTGAAAGGGCCTCAAAACTCTGTTGAGTATTGATATCCACACCAGACAACCAACAGCCAAAACCAGGATGACTGTGATACCAGCCAACAACCATCTCAGGTCTGGAAAAAAAGGAGGCACTGGGATGATCAATTATTTGCAGCAGGACATATGAAAGGCAACAGTGTAATTTATATAAGAAAATACTAAGGTAAAAGAAAGCGCCAGTAGAAACATTTATATTTATGCTCACCACATTATAATAAAAACATGAAAATGTGGTGAAGAAGTGCTAGCATTAAGGGAGGTGTAGTAACAAATGCAGCTCAGGCTCTCAGTTTTTCATCCTGATGCCACACCTCCCATCCAATTTTTATCCTTTCCACATTCTGGGAAATATCTCCTCTGAACACACTAGAGCCAAGTTGGCTTTTCACTGTGGAATATCTATTTCGAGCATGGATGATAGGATCAAATGACATCAAAAGACTAAATATCAATTAAACCAGAAGTCGAGATTTGCTCAAAAAGCAATTTGCACTGTTCTGTTTGGTGGTCAAGACTTTTGTTAACATTAATCCTTATAAGCTTTTATATCAGTATAAAATTTCAGCACAAAGATAGCATCTGTTGACACATTCCAAATGAAGTCCTGATTTTTAAAAAATATTTGAATGTCAAATAATCTTTATTGGGTATACAGAACAGTGGTTGAAAAGTTGCAAAGGGTGGTTAGTTGTCCCTTTTCTATTGTGGTAATACAGAAATTTAACATCTTATTGAATATTGTAATTTCTCCATACCTGAAGAAAAACAGTGATAGGAATCTGAAAACGCTTATCTGGCTTTTGACAATATATTAAAGCCATTATTAAATGTAAGCAATCTATCATATAAAGCACCCAGAAGGAAGGTTATGTTTAAACACTAGTAAATGATAGGGCAGGAAATCAAGAGGACTTGGCTGTTATTATAACATATTTTATAGTCAATAAAGAAAATCCTAACCTTCCAGTCTGTTTTAACATATCCAACATTTTGGCTTGAAACACAGGATCAACTGCCTCCACACTGACTCCCTGCATTTGGAAGCAGATTAACAAAGGCAATTTTAGGTAAACTTTCATGATCAATTCAGGACAGTAATAATATGATCTATTAATGAAGAGAAATGTCAGAAATCACAAAAATATTTCTTTTAACAAACACATTTAATCCATTTGTATTCACTGCTCTTTTTTAGAAGTGCACAGCAATTTAAAGCCTAGAAGATTTTATGAAGTGAGCTGTGGCTGCTTTGTCTAAGATCTACTTTGTCTCCCACCATGTATCCAATCTAATCTTGCTTTGAGAGCAATTCAAAAAGTAAATCACCACTATTTATGCCCTTTAGCTAGTAGCTTTCCCATCAAAATCCAGCCTTTTAATTAATACCCCAAGTTTATAAATGTAGTATTTAAAATTTTTTAGAGATATACTTTAGAAGAAAAGAATGAGCTTCAGGAGTCGTCAAAAGCGGACTTAGTCTAGAATCTCTATGTGAGCACAAGAGGGCAAAGTCCGAAATCACCCCTCTTGAATGCTGTTTAACTTTATCTCGTCTCAATCAGATACAAACTGTCAGTCTGAGAAGATCCTGGGCACAGACTTGAACAATAAACAATTAATTGGAATCTTCAAGTATGGGCCTGATTGTTTGCACCTTTCATATTGTTTACCATAGACTTTAATGCTTCATGCAACTGACAGCATCTAGTTACAAAACAACATAGCTATTTATGACTGGAGAAGTTATATAGAACATAAAGCATCACATTATTTATAAGTTTGGATATATGCACTGCATGTATGAATATTTTCTTCAAAAAAATAAGCATGTTGGGGAGGAACATTTTTGAGGTACAATTATAACAGTATTATAGCACACGTGCTAACTGTAAGAACTCACCGTTCCTGACTGTGGCATAGCAAACACATCAATCACTCTGACAGTGTAGTCATCAACAAATTCTCCAAGCATGAGTCCCATAACTTCCATGGGAACACCAGCTCGACCATGCTTCAACATCTGGAAAGATCAGAATTCTACTGAATAATATTTAGGGAACAGATGCTTGATTCTCTGGTGGCTTTTAAATTTCTTTTCTATTATATATTCATATTTTTAGAGCTATAAGGCCAAAAGCAACTTTCTCTGAAAACTCTATAGTATCACTTGTCTTACACAAAGATTCATAGTAAACTATTATTCGTATAGCAAAGGACAATGGGCAGGTACGAGAATGGATCCTATCTCAGAAGATGATGCCTTTAAAAAAGAGAAAAGTGTATTTTATAAAATATATGATCCCTCCAATGCCTATTAGTTCTGTTTGTATAAAACAATCTATAAAATCTATGCTCAAAATACCTTCATTGGAAAAAGAACCCGGAGACCTACGAAGAGCACGACAACACCGAACAGTGAGACGCTGGTGGGGAAAAATATCTCTGCTTTTATAGCACAAGTGTCATCTCTGACCATAAAACTGCTCTTCTATGATCAGTGTGCCAGTTATTGCCCAACCGTCTAACTGTCATAATCAATGCCTTGCTAGCTTCTCATTTAGGATCATGCAATATATGCCATATAATGGGGCTTATAAAAATAGCACCATTTTACTTTGTATTCTATATTGTACCGTATATAAAAACCATGAATAATTTGAATAAGTCACATTTAGAGGTTATGTGTAAAGCATCTATAGGCATGGAACAGATAGCTGCCCATAGTAGTAAAATTAAAGCTACTTACCAGTATACCATCAACCACATAAAATATACAGTGGAGAAAAAAATGAAGGACAAAAAACTTATAAAGAGTTCAATAACTGAATATACTCATTGAATGCTAAGTGTTGAGCAATTTTTACTGGCCAGGAGGAAAAACTGAACGGAAGTAAGAATATGACAAACAATTGTATCAGAAAGTAGCATTATCTAGATCAGAGGTCTCATTCTCGCGGCCCACGGGACAACTGTGGCCCGCAGGACGACATCCTGTGGCCCCCACCATGATATGAAAGCATAATATTAGTGTATAATATAAATATAAAGTATAATATAAAGTATAATATTATGCGGCCCAGCCTCACCCAGACTCTGCCTCCAGCGGCCCCCAGGTAAATTGTGTTTGAGACCCCTGATCTAGATATTGCTTGACCACATCACTCTCAGCATCCTTTGCCATTGCTGGGAGCTGTACTTCTGCAACACCTGGAAAGCTTCCGGTTTCCCATTTCTCATACCTGATTTTTAAACACCTCAGAAAATGGAACTTTCAATGTAAGACACAGCAAAAACATCCTGCTTATAATATATTCAGTGCTTTGCGCAATACTTAAAAAAACACACAAATATTTACCTTTAGAAGTGCAAGTGAAGAAATATAAACTTGCTCAGCTGTGTCAACTGCAGGTGCATCTGTAGGAGGTCCCTAGATAAAGAAACAACACTCTATAATATATACAACTCCATTTTATAAATAAAATGAGCTTCATCTAAAAAGACACTGCAGGAATATATTCTGTTCTATTAAATGCAGAATTTTGAAACAAAAATGGTAGTAAGCAATCTCAAACCCCTACTCTAATATAGAGGAGTTTCAACTTTTCCTTCCCTGACTATTTAAAAAGACTCATATGAAGAATACTGTGGTTGTATTTCCTCCCCTGCACATATGAAAAGAAGCTTAGTAAGACACTGAACTATGAATTAGAAGATCTAATTTAACTCTGCATCTGTCATAAACTCCTAAGTGTTTTTCAGCAAGTCACTAGTTGGCTTCACACACTGCAATACCTCAGTGCCATAGTTTGATGAATAAGCATAATGGTTATTCCCATATATTAAGCAAAAACCTTACATGTCACATTGTATTTTAGCACAATACCTGAACCCTATCACTCTTAAGTATTGGCCCTGCACCTATGAAGATTACACAGATCCTTCTCCCATTCATACAATGCTGATTACTATTTATACATCTCTCAATTCCAGTCAAATCTATTTGGTTGTGCAGCATTTATCTGGTCAGAATAATAATAATAATAATAAAATACATACTGCTCTTTCTTCCTCTCCCTTTCCTTCTCACAAACACACAATCTCCAATTAACTACATGTTTCTTACAGTGGTGTGAATATAAATGCTGCTAGGCTAGCATGATTAACTGGCACCAACACAAACACAATTTCCCTTTGCTTCATCAGTTTTTAGTTAAAGAGAACTTGGAAAAAGGCTACAGGAGCATTTTGCAGATCCATTGGTGCAGTGAGAAGAAAAAATGGACCTCCAATCCCTAGGCAGAAAAGCTGTGAACAAAATATTCTGCTCTTTGCTTTATGAGTAGCTAATAAAAAATTAGCACAATTGTCCCAGGTGTGAATGACGACCAAGGCCAAAATTATGTATTGTTCAAGTGCAGAATGCCATCTACAGCATTGCAAAATTAAAATTATGCAATTACTATAAATAATGACATAGTAGTACAAAATGATCTTTTAATTGTGATTTGTGACCAAGGATAACTTCACCAAAACCCACCATCCACCAATATGTGCTAATGATCAAGCATTCAATAAGCAGTTCTACTTAACACTATATTAGTTTGCTTCATTATATTTAAAAATATTTAAATATAATGAAGATCTATTTAGCCCTAAAATATCAATATGTGAATTTTCAAAGATGGATATTTACAAGAGATTCAAATAATTCAGCCCACAATTCAGAAATCCTGCTTTTAATGCCTGAAAATGACCTCACTCTAAATATTACAAATGAGAGAGTAGTTCATGGCAACAGCTGTACAATGAAACAGAAGTTTCCTGATAGCCATTATGAAAATAATTGCCATTGTTTGTGTCCTGAAAATTTAATGGCAAAGCACCATTAATAGGGAGCATGTAATATTTAAAACCATTAAGAATGTTTTATAAGAAAGGAATATGTTAGAAAATATAAAATTTAGTGACAGAAAGTTTCAGCAATTTTGATCTCTCCACATTATTGCTCACAACTCTGGAATACTCAGTTCTGTTTTCTCCTTTTATACACAATCATCATTTTCAATTAATTTCTGAAAAACAGCAGTATTACTGTTAAATAATCTGGATTTGTCACACAATTGATCCTTAATATATTACCGTACTATTTTCAATAATACTAAGTACAGAGTGCAACTTTTAATACTTCATTCTGCTAATACCAGTTTTTGAACTATTATGTTATTTTGTGTATTTGCTTAGAGAAGACGTTTTTCCCTATGGGTTTTTAAATATAACTGCTTTGCCAACACTGATGGATGTCAACAAAATTTCTTAATTTAACCACAACTTGTTAGTACACAACTATGTGCTTATTCCCTCTTCAATCTTCCAAAATTTCTTAAAACAAAATTTCCTAACATGCTCTACACCATATACTATATTCAACTAGTTGATTTCAAATCATATGCCAAATATTATGATTAACAAGGAAAAACTAGATAGTTTCATTTGACATAAGCCAAGAGCCATTTGGTCAACAGGACTTCTCATTCTACTCATAGTGCTTAATCTTGAGGGTTCCTCAATCATTACTGTAGAATAGATCTAGTGTTCAGGACATAATAATGGCAAATGAATCGATTCCATTGGATGTTGCCATTCCACTGGTATGTTTCTCAGGTACAATTGAGAACCGATTCTTTTACCCTAGGCTTGCTTTTTTTAGCTAGTCTTACATGTGCCAATTCAGCCATATAGCCTATTTGCATATTAATTTGAAAATATGCTGTATTGTATAAGAGTGCATAAATTGCTATTCCTATCACAGGGACACTTTTTTTCTGAATATTACTGTTTTAGAATGAATACTTTCAGAGCAACAACATAAATTTGATTCATTTATGCTACTGTTTTGAAGCAAAATTCTGGATATCTATTATAATAACTATATTTTAAATCTTCGGTCATGTAAATTGCTTATAGTTACCATCCTAAGTACAAAAGTAAATAATTTTTATTTTTGTAATAATTACTACAGTAATTAACAGCAAATTATTTTTAAGAGATTAGAAGAAACACACAGATATTGATCCACCAAATTAGAATTAAGAATGATGGCCAGAAAATACTGTCTGTAGATAGCAAAACACATTGGGCACCCTTAGTTCCACAGAATGATGGATTATTTTACTATGTATAAGCTCACTGATATGCAAGATGGCACATCTGTACACCACAAGCTGTAGAAGATTCTTGTGTTTTCTCCCCTATCTTCCCTTCCCATTTACCACTGGGCAATATTAATGAAGATGCACAGTGCTTGTATATTAAATTGTTAAGATTATACATCAAACCACATCTGCCTGTCACTTTCCATTCCAACCAGTGATCTACAAAGGTGATGAAAAGTAAATATACTTTTCGCTGATATACCAGATGCATCAGAATCCCCAGAGAATCAATGTGCTAACATCATCACCAAAGACTAAAACTGAAGCAAGTCTTTAAATTTGGTCGTTTACTTACAACTAAAGTAAGCCACAAAAATAAAATAACACAACTTTATGGCTTTTAAAAGTTCCTTTGTATCCAGTGCATAGAAAACAAGTGAGGAAAATCATTCCTGATTATACTTTTAAAGAAAAGAAACAGATGCTTCTTTCTGACTAAACTGTCTACCAAGTGTTAGACAGTGAACTGACCTGCCTGCAGGGCAATCGCATCAGCTGTAAGCTGCATCAATCATTTCTTTTAGCCATTCCTTATTAGCTAATGCGGAATTTAAGGTAGTTTTTCACAATTAATTTTTTTTTTGCATTTTAAAATACATATACAATGTTTCTAAAAATCTAATAGAAGAATGATCAAGACAATCAATCCAGTGAGGTTAAAAATGAGGCATTACTTTTCTTCATGAGCATTCGAATATAATCCAAATATAAAAGCTGTGACTTTTCCTTGGGCAGCCCTTGTTGACTAAGTGTTAAAAAAGGCATTTGCCATTCTAACAGCATAAAACTAACGCCTTAAAGTGTTATCTACTCAGGCCTTTTAGCAAATTTGTTAACACTTTTAGGTATATTACTCCACCTTTCTCTTAGTGTGAACTGGTATCAATTATTTAGCCAGTTTTATTATGCTATTAGAATACCTGCTGATTTATCATGAATCAAAGTGTCATTTTAGAGCACTGCCCTTTACGTCACCATACATTTCTTTCAATGTAAATGATGGAAAATAAATAAAGCCACAGCTACAAAAAGAACCACAGACATAGAAAATCAGTAAAAACTCCTACTGAATAATCTTCCCCATTTAACCATGCTACATTAAAAACAGTTTTTAAATGTGGAAAAAGTGGTCCACTTCTTAAAAATGTCATTATAAAGGATACCTCTGTAACAAAATTATTAGATAGCTACATCCAATATTATTTCCATCCATTCTCTTTAGTTAAAACCCCTTTAAAATATAAACACAACAAAACAGACATAAGCAAATGTACAACTATCCAACACTGTCATGTTTATTCTTACCCAATAAAATAAAAATAGGAACCTTTTAATACTTAATTTTGTGAGTATTAAACAACTAGTGTGAAAAACAAGATGCATGTAAACTACTTCTACTGCCTCTGCCTCAATGACTAGCTGAGACAACCTGTTATAGGAGGTGTTAATTGGCAATAGGAGTGCAAGTCAGAAGCATGTTCCCCATCGTCCTAACCCAGCAAGGCTAGGTCATTAAAGTGGAAATGAATTCTTTCATGCTGACTTAACTCTTGGAGTACAGATTTTCAGCTGTTACACCTACAGACAATTGAGTGTGTGTGCTACTTCAGATGGCACAAAAAGAGGCATTTTCTTCTTAAAAATAATTGTATTATGTGTACCGTTTATTATGCACTATATACCAGAAGTAATCTGTGAATGATCTAATGGTTAATGCACACATGACTACATGGAGACGTACAAGTAATCAAGTGTACAAGTATTCTGAAATGCACAACAGCCTGCAGACTTACAATAGAAGTCTGGGACAAATGATTTTCTTTAACAAAGGAAATGGTAACATGTTATTGCAATTGTGCCTAATTGTATCAAAAGTTACAAATATCTTTAAGATATTAGGCACAATTGACAAGAAGTCTTAGGAACAGAACAGCACAGAAATAGAATGAAGTAAATAACTAAGTAATTTTATATTTTTACTAATAATTAGGCCATCTAAGAAGAATTGTAGTAACATATATAGCGTAGAACACAACATCTAAACACCACCATTTTGACAGCTTTTGAGTGAAGAAGTAGTTGTAGGCCAAATAAGAAGCTTAGACTTCTGCTCCACTATAAAGTTCATCAAGCAAGCTTCAGCCAATTATATAACCTTTTCCATAATTCTTGATCTGTAAGAAAACTCCTTAACATTACCCCTTAACTGTAGACT